CTAAGGGCAGAGTGCAATTTGGGAGGCCACCAAAGGCAACAACAGGGCACGTGGGGTTACCCTCAAAACTCCCCTCGTGACTCCCAGCTTCAACTTGGGTCACGCCCACGCCTCAACTGGCAAGACATCGCCCACTTCATGCATCCATCCAAACAAGTTCCAACTAAATAAATACCCCCACAACCCACATGTAACGCAACGCCTCTTTGGTTTCATGGTTTTTGGCTTTTTGCTCCCACTACGACTCTCACCTGTCTTCATTATTCATCCTCATTTCCATTCACTTTTCAGAAGTTACTTTGCTGTGTTCAAACTTTTTTTTTTTTTTTCCAGATGCTCCCAACCAAATCCCGTTTTTGTGCGGGCTTTTAGTTCTTTACACCTCTGAAGTCCTTTTGGACTTTAGGTTGCTTACGCCATCCCACACACAGAGGCCCACATCTTCTTCGCGTCTCGCTTTTCACAACGGCCTCAAATTCCGGCCCATAAAATTCCTTCGTCATTAACCTCATATCTGCTCTGTTAACTCAAATCATTACAAAAGACGAAGTCCATTATAAACAGAGTACTACTATTTTGTATTTTTACAATCTTAGTGTTTAATATAAAGGCTAATTGACTAATTTGATTAGATTAAAAAATTTAGTCAGATTAATTATTTATAATAAATAGGTATTGTCTTTTCTAAAATATACTTGATAATTAATTACGTGTATTAGCTGGAACTGTCATTTAATTAAACTTTTAACATGTGTAACTATTATAAGAATGACCTGAAAAAAATAGATAAATATAAAGAACAAAGTAGATTACAGTCTGATATTTAAAATCAAATTGAACGCGAATAAGAGGCAATATTTTAGTAATCTCCATATTATGAACCTATTAGGGAATACGTGTTCAGCTTGCTTGCAGAAACCCCTCCCTCCCTAACTCATTCGAACTCTTGCGTTACTCCATGAAACTGGACGCTTCAAATTGCATTTTAGTCCGACAAGAGTTCTAATATATCTGACCACCACTTTAGATTCCCGACACTTGTAATATATCAAAAAAAAATCAATACAAAATTCTGAAAGCAAAACAAATATGTTACGAATTACATTCAGTAAATAGATATAAAATTTGAATATGACACGACATACTCCCTCCGATCCACCACATAAGTTTCCATAAGAAAATCTTTGTCCGAAATGTAAAAAATTAATTGGGTAATTAATGATAGCTTTTCACTTTTACTTCTTATTACCGGGAGAAAGGAGAGTTTTAAATTTCTGTATGAACCATTATCAATGTATATCATTTAGTGTGTACTGAGTATATTCCCGACCAACATCTAAGAAGTATATGTCTTTCAAGATGCAGAGACCGCATGAGAGGATTTTACCTTCCATTATTAAAAAAAAAAATTCAAAGACCTCTTAAATTGTTGTTAAATTCACTACTTTCCAAAAGTTTTTAGAAGACTTATCACTGGGATTAATAATAAAAAATATCTCACTATTAAAGAGTATTACATCACCTCTTATATTGTGTGAAAATTACTTATAAAAAGAATAACAGGGAGTAAATAAAAAAATATGAATAGGAATGAAACAGAGGTTCCATGTTAATATGTCAGTTTCTGAAGAGCTGATTACGTGGCTCACTGAAATATATGTGTGAGGAGCTTTTATTGGTTCATCACTTGGTGCTTTCATTGATTTATCTAAAGAAAAAGCCTTCTTGGAGAATTAAGAGTTGTTTTCCGAATCTGTAATGTTTGAAAATGACAATTTCAGTTTCATGTGACCCCTTTTCTAGGAAATCCAAACGACCCGAATTTTCACTTTGATTCCATTTGACTTCTTTTCTACTCCAAACATTACACTTATCAATGTCCCCAAAACACGTTGAGGTTTGTAATCCATTTTTGGAGTTTGGAGCATAAATGAATAGGATTAAGACTTCTGCGATGGTTTGGTAATATTGACATCTTGTTGGCCAAAATAAATATTCACGTCTCTCTTTTTTTTAGCCACAAAATTTGGGATTGAGACATATAGGGCAACTAAAAGTTCATCAACAATAATATCATTCTATTTAATCCCTTGGTTCTATTTATAAGTCAATTTCAATGTTTCATACAGACTAAGAAAAACCTTAAATTTTATTAATTCTCATTCAAAATTTAACAACTTTTCAATTGTATTTATATTTAATATACACTATACCTCGTATAAACAAAGTTAACACAATAATAAATAAAGAATAAAATTGTACATTTAGACAAATTTTTTTCTCAATACCCTAACAGGACAAAAAATATTTCCTTTCTGTCCTATAAATAGGACTAGAGGAATATAAGCTACGTTTTTAACATGTTTTTAATCAAAATTAAGAAAAATTTTAAATCTTATTAACTCTTTCTTAAGATTTAACAATTTTTTAACTCTATTCTTACTTAATATATATTCTTTAAAAAAATCTATAAAACAAGTAATTAGAGATAAAATTGTATGGATTATACAATTTGCATCGATTAGCTGTGAAAACTTACCTATTCACACGTCGCATAGCGCCCAGATTTGGCAGAGAAAACATACCACACCGAAACATAGTTAAGGCGTGAGCTTTCACCCAGTAGCAATATACTCTCCCCCTCGGCCGGGAAAAAAAAAAAAAAACCTCTTCCCCACTCTTATATTTACATAAGACTTTAAAAAATTTTAAATTTTATTAATTTTATTTTAAAATTTAGTAACTTTTTAATTTTATCTCTATTTAATATATATTATATTTTACAAGAATAAAATTAACACAATAATAAATAAGGAATAAAATTGAATATTTATTTAAAAAATTTAATAATGCGACTCATAAATAAAATCATAAGAGTATTTTTTAAATAAAACTTAACGAGATGTTTAGTATTAGTTGGACTAAATAGTCTCGAAAACAATAATACGTTCAGCGGAGATGACTTGTATCTTTGCCAATCCGCGATAAGTTGCAAAAATAGTCGGAGAAATGTCATTGTGGTACAAATACTCGCTACAATGTAACGTATAGCAAACAGAAAGTATAAAATTAGTACATTATTTACAAGCGAAGTTTGGGTTCTCACATGATCTCGATTCAAAACTGAGCAAATTTTCTCTGAAATTTACTCTGCCGTTCAAAGTCACTATTTTTTTTTGCCAAAAAAACTCACTATTTTTTACAACCGTATAACCCCACTCGTTCAAAAGTGGCAATTACTGCTGAAATATTAGATGTTAAACTTCTGAAACAATCATATTCCTTTCTTTCTTTTTCCCCCCATAGAAGGAGTAATGAGCAAGTAACCAAAAAAAAACTGGACCAAAAACTAAACTGATTGAGATAGTGGTTTAAGAGTCAGTTAGTCATACTCACACCAGACTCAACTCAAGGTCAATTGATCATATTAAAATAATATAATTTAATTAAAACCAAGAAAAATACAACAACATTAATAATCACTAATAATGAAATACAAGGAAATATAACAATTGTTTGATTGTAATAATAACAAAGTACAATAACATTGACAATTTTGATCTTTATGATTCATCAACAACTAAAATTAATAATCACTGATATCAAAACAATTATTAAAATTCATTCAAATATATAGTGACTGAAATATTACGAATTGGATGAGAAAAAATAAAATTATAACAACATAATTATTTAAACCAGTTCATCATCAGTTCATATTGGTTTTTATCAGATTTCACTAGATCACACTAGTTTGATCAGTTTGATCCACGTTCAATGCCCAAACCAAATTGGACTACTAGTTAGTTTACTGGTCTTCCGGCTAAGTCAGACAATTCGCTATAGTTTTTTTCCCCCCCTTCATAATGAGACAGACTTGTGTAAGACTTTTGACTGGTTAACATTCTCGAGTCACACTAATAGTATACTCTTCTGGTCTTATTTATAAGGTAAAGAAAAAAGAAAATTTTTGTCCTATTTATAGAACAGAGAAAGAAAATTTTTAATCAATGTATAATTTTATACTTCATTCATTATTGTATTAATTTTGTTCTTATATATTGTATATTCAATAGGGGTGGAGTTGAAAAGTTATTGAATTTTAAATAAAAATTAATGAAATTTAAAAATTTTCTTGATCGGCATAAAACACGTTGAAAGTGACTTATAAATAGGATTAAATCTCTAACTTTATCTCTATTTAATATATATTATATCTCATGTATACAAAATCAACGTAATAATAAATGGAGGGTACTAATACAAAAAATTTATCTTAATACCCTATAAATAGGACACAAATTTTTTCTATTTCTACCGTATAAATAAAACCAGAGGAGTACATACATATTATGTACTCCTCTGGTCCTATTTATAGGATAGAGTGAAGGTATTTTTTAGTTATATTTATAGGGCATTGAGAGAAATTTTTTATATGGAATGTATAATTTTATCCTTCATTTATTATTGTGTTGACTTTATTTATATAGGTATAATGTATATTAAACAGGAATAAAGTTAAAAATTATTAATTTTAAATTAAATTAATAAAATTTAAATTTTTTTTTGTCTGTGTTAACATATTAGAACTAATTTATAAATAGGACCAAGGACTACGTAGCTTTTGGAGAGCAAGAAAATAAAAAGGCGGAACACTTTCAGATTTAATTACCATGATACCCCTGATCTGTGTCCTATATTGACTTCTGCTAGACGTATGTCTTTAATAACATCACTAGTCAGACTAGCGGGAAATGGGAAAGTACAATATTTTGGTGCGGATCCAATGAATTGATCGTTCCCTCCCCTTTCAAATTTCGTGCCTTTTCCCCCTTTTCTTCCTGATTTCATATTTGTCCTTTCCATTTCAAATGTTCTGCATCCAAATTTAAGAGCCAATTGAATGGAAGAGGAGAAGACAAAACCAACTACAGGCTTGAAGCCTGGCCCGCTTCGTCTTTTAAATTTCAGAGCCAATTGACGATGATTCACAAAATGAATTTGGGAACAAAAATTAGGGATTATATTACCAAAATTGGGATTCAACCATTTTCTTACAACAATTCTTGATAAGATTAATGATACCAATACATCAGTCAGTGAACTAAGCTAATACAAAACTAATCACAGTGAATTAAATTTCACCCTACGAATTTGAACATACAATTTCTAAAATGTAAGGGTGCGTTATAAAACATCTCTCTCTACTTTTGTCCTAAAAGGTGAACTCTGATTTGTGATCGTTAAGCATAGACCGAGCCACATGAGAGAGCCATCAACAGTACAGCGGCTTGTTCTTCCTCTCCCAGCTTCTTCCTCTGCCTCTCCACCGGTGACCTCTGCATCAAAACCTCCCTTCCCAGAGCCATTAATCTCTGCTTTAAACTATCCCCAATCTTAGCATTGTTGCTGCTTCTTTTGCCCTTTTTCTCTTCTGTGCTTCCCTTGTTCGTGCCTAGAATAGCTCTCTTCTTCTTCCTGCTTCTGATTCCACATGCGTTGCAGAGAGACTGCGGTAAACAAAATAGAACAACAAATGATGATCAGAACCGTATCGAAGCTTAATGTTGTGAAATCGATTAGGAAATGGGTTTCTTCGATCGAGTGGATTACCTTAGGCCCCGCCGGACCGCCTCTCCAGAGAGGGGTTTTTGTCGTGCCGCAGTCGGCGCAGGTTTTCTTCTGCTCGTTGCTCATTGGGCTTTCTTCCGAGGAATCACCGTTAGGGTTTCTGTTATTGGTGTCCTCTACCTCTGTTCCCTGCATTACAGAAGAAAATCAGCTCGATCAGAATCCCCACATCCGAATCAAAGCAAGGCGGTGGTAAGTTGGAAGAAACCATCATGATTCGTGATCACTCACTTTTCCACTCGGATCAACCATTATTTCGAAGATCTGAGCAGAACCCAAAGCAAGGAAACGTGCAAGGGAAAGTGGAAATTTCCTATTGAGTGAAGCCCTTGATGATCCAACACGCACACACAATGAAGCTGAAGGCGAAGAAGGAAGCGATCTATCGAGGAAGGAGAAATGCGTTAGCGAATAAATTTGGAATAGGGGCGATCGGTAAAGGATTAGGAAGGGACATGCAGTGAGGGTGAGAGGGAGAGTATGCGTACGAAAGAGATTAGGGGGGAGGGAGGGAGAGAGAGAAAGGCGTGGCTGGCGGATGAGACACGCGCAACAGCCGCAAGCTGAGCAAAATCTAAAAGAAAGGCTTACATAAAAGGGAAGTGAAACACTGAAACCCTAATAATGGGCGAGTCTAAATGACGAACTTGCCCTTGCCGCCAGGATCCCTCAAGCCAAATCTCCCGTGCGGCTGGCTGCGTGCGACGAACAAAAAGGGGCTGAATTAATTCGATTGGGTGTTTTTTTTTTGGAAAAAAAATTAAGCAATCACTTGATATAATTCAAAAAAAGATGAAATTATATGAACTTACATATTAATTTTGATTTTCTTCCTTACAATGAAATTTGTCTGGCAATAAACACGTCGTGACATTTTGGTACAAAAAATCCTGACGTTATTATTATAATTTAGGTAATTTTTCACACCAAAATCTAATTTAATTAACATTTGTATTATACTATGCTCTAGCGCTAATGAGTTCTCAAACTTAAGTACTTAACTCACCATGTAAATCTGCATATTATATGAAATGCAGCACAATAGACTATGATATATAAGTAGTATAGTTAATTATAACTGTTATATTTATTACAACACATGTCAATTGATTTTAAATAAGGTTTAAAACAAACATGCTTTTATAATTAATGTTCAACCAAAACATTTTTTTAACGAAAAGTAGGGTGAGTGTTTGGTGAGGTGGGGCAGCTAGGCCTGTGTTGGTATACTGAAAGTGTTTTTTTGATGAAATTAGCAATCTGAGACCAAGATACAAGAAAAAATACTTTAACAGTAATTGATTCCATTTAAAAAGTAAATAACAATATATTTTTAAAAATAATTTCTGATTTTGAAATTAAAAAAAATTGAGATTTTTTCAAGATACAAATAAAAGAAGAAAAAGAAAAAGAAGATGAAAAAAGGGTGTAAAAGTATGTTTGGCGTGTGAAAGAAAGTTTACTGTTTCGTAGTGGTGTCACGAAGTTTAAAATTTAGAAAAATGAAAGGCCTTAGAGGAACATAACGACGCGGTCGCCGTGAAAAGTGAAGGCCATGGAAGAGGAGGAGGGTGGATTGTATTGGGTGGTTATAAATTTAGAAGCGCATAATGACGCTGGCAATAGATGGAGGAGGTCATCCGCGCCGTCAATCCCCCACGTCAGGTTGTCCGACTGAAGATGGATCGCCGTCGGCAATGAGTTTATAGGCTGGCAGCATGTCTATGAGTTTTGGGTAGATAAGATGTGGCAAAAATTAGTTAAAGGAAACTTATAATACAAATAATCAATATAATGTAAAATATAAAAAGTATAAAACTACCTTCGGTTCTAATTACAAGACCTCGTTTGTTGATCACAAATGAAATCTTATAATTAGAATTGAAAGTAGTATATTAGTATTTGTAAGTAAGGATTTCCTTTTAATAGCAACACAAACAAGGATTTCCCCTTTCTTATTCAAATTCTTTCTTTTATTCCAATTTACTATTTCCTCAACCATAATAGCCTCACTTGTTAAAAAATGGCAATCACTTTCCAATATATCACCTCCGGTCAAGTTCTAATAATAAAATCTCTCTATAAACAGGATATTATAATTAGAATAAGAAATAATATTGACTATTAAATATTTGAAGTCATTAAAAAAAATGGGCATCAAACTCCGGGAACAACTGTATTTCTCTGTTTTGTTTTTCATAGGATGGGTAATGAGACAGACTTGTACAGGACAGTTTGACTTATCAGTCAAACTGGAATCAAGGATCAGTCACACATGTAATATATATATATATATATATATATATATTTGGCGAACTACATATGATATGTTAGTTGATTACGTAAAAGCAAAAACAAAAAAAAAAAAAAAATCAATTTTACCCAATGAAATGATCAGGCCGGGAAAAAAAGAGTTATAAGAATGTTTCAAATTTAATTACCGTAATATCCTCGTTGTTTGTCAATTGACTTTTGCTAGATGGATCTTCAAATGTCACTGGTCAAACTAGCGGGAAACAGGAAAGCACATTTCAGTATTGATTTATTGAAGTTCCCTCCTCTTTTAAAATTTGTGACTCTCCTAAGCCATTTTTTTTTTTTGGGTGGTTTTCCCACCTTTCTTTCATATTTGTTCTTTCAAATGTTCTGCGTCAAAATTTCTGCAACGTATTAAATGGAAGAGAGAAGAAACAAAACCAATAAGCCTGGCCTATTCATCTCTGGAATTTCAGAGCCAACAGACGCTTATGTACAAATTCGAATTGAGAACAAATAAGGGATTATATTACCAAAATTGGGATTCAATCATTTTCTTACAATTCTTGATAAGATTCATGATACCAATACATCAGTCAGCAAACTAAGCTAATACAAAACTAATCACAGAAAATTTCACCCCACGATTTTGATCACACAGTTTCTGAAATGCAAGGGTGTATTATAAAACATCTCCCTCTCTCTCTACTTTTACTCTAAAAGCAGAACTCTGATTTGTGATCATTAAGCATAGACTGAGCCATATGAGAGAGCCATCAACAACACAGCCGCTTGTTCTTCCTCTCCCAGCTTCTTCCTCTGCCTCTCCACCGTTGATCTCTGCGTCAAAACCTCCCTTCCCAGAGCCATTAATCTCTGCTTTAAACTATCCCCAATCTTAGCATTGTTGCTGCTTCTTTTGCCCTTTTTCTCTTCTGTGCTTCCCTTGTTCGTGCCTAGAATAGCCCTCTTCTTCTTCCTGCTTCTGATCCCACATGCGTTGCAGAGAGACTGCAGTGAACAGAATAGAACAAATGATGATCAGAACCGTGTCGAAGCTTAATGTTGTGAAATCTATTAGGAAATGGGTTTCTTCGATCGAGTGAATTACCTTGGGCCCCGCCGGACCGCCTCTCCAGAGAGGGGTTTTTGTCGTGCCGCAGTCGGCGCAGGTTTTCTTCTGCTCGTTGCTCATTGGGCTTTCTTCCGAGGAATCACCGTTAGGGTTTCTGTTATTGGTGTCCTCTGCCTCCGATCCCTGCATTACAGAACAAAATCAGCTCGATCAGAATCCCCACATCCGAATCAAGGCAGGGCGTTGGTAGGAAACTCCGGAAGAAACCATGATGACTCGTGATCACTTACTTTTCCGCTCAAATCGACCATCTGTAGGAGTTACTTCGAAGATCTGAGCAGAACCCAGATCAAGAAAATGTACAAGGCGAAGTGGAAATTTGCTATTGAGTGAAGCTCTTGATGATCCAACACGCACACACAATGAAGCTGAAAGGGAAGAAGGAAGCGATCTATCGAGGAAGGAGAAATGGGTTAGAGATGAAGATCGGAATTGGGGTGATCGCTGAAAGATTAGGAAGGGGCATGCAGTGAGAGTGAGGGGTAGAGTATGTGTACGAAAGAGATTAGGAGAGAGAGGGAAAGGTATGGCTGGCGGAGGAGACACACGCGCAACGGCCGCAAGCTGAGCAAAATGTAAAAGAACCAGGCTTAAATAAAAGAGAAGTGAAACCCTAATAATGGGCGAGTCCAAATGACGGAATTGCCCTTGCCTCCAAAACCATTAGGATCGCTCGCGCCAAAATCCCCCCGCAATGAACAAAAAGCGCGGGATTAATTTGATTGAGTTTTTATATATATATATATATATATATATATATATTTGGTTTAATATAATTTTTGGCATCTTAAATTTATCTCGTGATTTTTGTCCTTTAAGTTTTAAATTATGAAATTTAGTTTCTTTATAAACAAAACAGTTTAAATATTTATTGAATTATAAGGATTAATATTTTAAGTAAAAAAATTTAAGAAGCCATAACTTATAATTTAAAATTTGATAAACTAAAACCAAAATAAAAATAAATTGAATAAAGGGATAATTAATTTGGAGGTCCTTCTAGTTTTATTCAATTTGGAATCAAGCCCTTGAGCTTTTTTAATTTTTGTTGGGTCCTTTAAGTTTGTTCTGTTAAACGCATTAATCCCAGCTGTTGAATTAAAAAAACGTTGTTAAAACTTTTGTTAAAAGGCACTGCAAACGTCTTTCCCATCTGAAACAACTCTTTCTGTCTCCTTTCCCAGTAACCTTTATTCTCTCTCTGCATTTGCCTACCTTATTAAGCTGATGTCCCCTGATAACATCCTTTTCTCTCGAATTTAAACATCCCTCCTCTTCGGCCATGTTACCTCTTATCAATCAATTTTTATTTGTTTCCTGTGATGAAAGCTAAACTGATAATTTGCTTCAGTTTTCTCTTGAGACAACTTTTACTAATAAACTACTCTCTATCATTCTTTAATACTTCTATCACATTGGCCAGTTTTTGATCAGCAACAAGTTGAACCCCTTACAGGTGAAAATCTTGCGTCTTTACAATGTACTTAATCACATCCAAGCCTCCGACCAAATGTGTTGGAAATCTTGAGGATTCTGGAAGGATTCTGGAAGGCAGAGTTGAACGGAGTAGCTAGGGCTGGGGTCACCTTATCGAAAATGGCAAATTTAAAGTTGAGAGAAAGGTCACTTGGTTGACATTCTATGTCATCAAGCAAGAAGAAGTCGTTGCTGGCTTTTGAGGTTATGTCATAAAAGCTAAGCAGTGGATGGGAAGATAAGAGAGATATGAAAGAGAAAAGAGGAAACAGAGAAATGAGGACATGGCAAAAGGGGACTATGGACACAAGCAAGGGGAGAGAGGGGAAGGATGGGGGTTTTCATATTAAGTGATGGACAACTGTGGGGTACTAATATTTATGTGTATGTGTTGGGGTGTGAGAAGGGATCAGCTTAATAAGGTAGACAAATGCAGAGAGGAGAGAAAAAGCTATCGGGAAATGAGATAGAACGAGTTGTTTTAGATGGAGAAGACGCTTGCGGTGCTTTTTAACGAAAGTTTTAACAGTGTTGTTTTTTATTTAACAACAGGGATTAACATATTTAACAGAACAAACTTAAAAGACCCAATAAAAAGAAAAAGAAACTCAAGGACTTAATTCAAAATTGAATAAAACTATAAGGACTTCCAAATTAATTATCCCTTGAATAAATAAAAAATTATATTAACTCTATTTTTTTTCTTAACAACAACATTTGTCTGCCAAGTAATGTCCCGACCGGCATTATTATTATGATTATGATTTTAATTAAGCTTTAGCAACTAAAAATGAAATATATGATTTAGTTTACGTTTGTATTTTTATTATTAAATACAGATATGTAAATTATATGAAATTTAGCAATATAGGTAATACTATTTAGGGAAAATTGGTTTAAAAAAATCCCTGGTTGAAATTTTAATTGGTCAAAAGAACCTGAATTTGAGCAAGTGCAACTATAATCCATGAATGCAACATATTTTTTGCTATGTGCAACATATCATCAATAACGTGTAATAATGATCAACACGGAAGTTATTTGCACACAACAAAAGATATATTACACATAGCGGAAGATATGTTGTATTTACGGATCATAGTTGCACTTACTTAAATTCAAGTCCTTTTGGCCAATTAAAATTTCAACCAGGAATTTGTTTTACCAATTTTTCCTACTATTTATGTTTTATAAATATCATAATTTATCTTACCTGTTGTGTTTATTATTACTATATAGATGAGATGATTTTAATAAATTTTGAAAACATATATTTATATTAATAATGACAAAACATATTTTAAAAAACGCCCCGGGGGGAAGGGGAAGAAAAGTTAGTGTCCGGCGTGGTGGGGTGACACAATATTAAATATAAAATGATGCGTGTCCTACAGTTTCCTAGTAAAGGCACCTATGCTGCCTCAGCCCTCCGAGTATTGTACTCCTTGGTACATTTGTATTAGGTCAGCTAATTGACCACTTCTCGTTTTCAATCTCTTTCGCATTTTTACTTCCCTTCATTTTCTATTCTAAATATCTTCACTCCCTCCACTGTCCCAACTAGGACTCACTCTCCCATTTCCTATCATTTATCTTTCCTCTTTAAATTTTCAGCATTGTCAGTGTCTCAAACTAAATCCTAAATAATAATAACCTTTTTTATTTATTTTTGGTTTATAAGGAGAAAGTATGTGGATCGAATTCCCAATTCGCCACTAATTAAAATGAGTATTCAGTACTACTTCCAATTCTAATTATAAGATTTTATTTGTAGACTATAAATAAAATATTTTTTCAGTCTTTCAGCCCTAACACTATTAATAAGAAATGATGATGCTAAAATTTTAAATATTAATTAAATATTTTTAAATACTGACATGTTCAGTTTGAATTTCAAGATAATGATAATTGTTATAAAAATTATCATTTAAGACTAAGAGCTTCCGAGTTATAAAAAAGGTTATCTTTTATAACTAAGGAATTAAATTAAAAGAATAAAAATTAAATTAATTGGCTAATTATAATAAATATGACTTGATATCTCAGCATAGTATAATGTTGGATTATATATCATTTGTTTATAAGTTAGATAAATTAGGTTTAGAAAAAATAAGAAAACATAAGAGATAAAACAATATGAGATCTTGTGTTTAAAAATAAATCTTACTCTCTAACTAATTTCTATATTAAGGATCAAAACAGTAATAGGATAAAAAGATGTGTAATTGTTTGAATGTCTCGCAAATCCACTAAAATAACCTCCAATTTACTTCACTATTGCACTAAGACCATGCTTAGAACCAGTTTGTTGTTAATCTGAAAGTAGCATTATTCTGATACTCCCAACGAGACTGACGAGAGGATGATTCTAAACGTACTCGCTTTGTATGAGGCGTTTATGCCTCTCATGCTCTTTGCTACAGCTTAGTTTACGGGACTAGTAGAACCGCCACGGCGCTGCATATGTTATTTGATCTAAATCTTAGATAGTTCAGATGTCTTTTTTTTTTAACTACACATAGGTATTATTTTAAAGCGGACACTAAATGTGAACCCTTTTTATATATTATGAGAAATTAACTCTTTTCGTTAAATTCAATCCTCTTAGTTATGTAGTTTAGATATTATGTCTCATAAAAGTTATGGATCGTGAACTTATGGAGAGTTTAGATATAGTTTACAATCAATCAAAAATGGTATTTTTATGTAAATTGAAACAAAAATTTTCTTACATGTTTATCTTGTGTATTGTAAAATGTTTTTAAAAAAAGCTAACCCAAATAGCCTTACATAAGTACTTCTGAGCATAATCCCTGTACCCCAAAGAAAGTCTTCTCAAAAGCAGAATTTTCAGGAATATCGACAGATCCTATAACCCAATGGGCGATGGAGGATGTAACTCGTAAAATTTGCTAAAAAGTCCACAACTTTAGTAAAAAACTAAGGGCGAAGAAAAGGCAGATTCACCCCTCTCTGTTTGGGTTAGATTCTAGGGCTGTTGGGCTTTTAATTGAATTCGTCCACTTGAACTGACACTGGCCTTTACAATCCCAATATCATGGCCCAAAAGCCTACTCACGAAGACAAGAGGAGCCCAGACACCTTTTTTCCATCAGCCCAAAAACAGACCATAGGTTATAACCTCCATGTCTGCGGATCACACTATTCACTCAGCAAACTAAAGGCGATGCTCTATCAAGAGGATTGGATACAGACTAGCTCCTCATGAATTAATATTTAAATTTTTATTGAAAAAAAATTTCCACATTCAGCATTCGGTGATGTCTTAAATAAAATTTCCACTTCATTTTATAGTCTATAAATGATGTCTTATAATTAGGATCGGAAGTAATATCTGTGAATGAGTCCTTTCCGATTTTTATTAGGTTATATATAATTGCTGATGGCATGACATTTTTAAAAATTTAATATTTTATTTTTTAACATATATGTGAGAGAATTTAAGAAGTCAGGCAGGGACGAATGAATATTGTCAGAGGCACAATAGAACTATACTCGGGAGCAGGAGGGAAAAGAAGAATTTTTTTAAGGTGTTTTAAGAATTTTCTTTTTGACGGGGGCAAGCATTGGAGAGTCTTTTAATTTACGGATATGGAATTATGGATCCTGCGCAGGCATAGCATTGACCACGGGGGATGCAGTCACGTAACTTTCTATTAAAATCAACTTTTTGTAATAAAAAATTTTATATTTACCTACTAAAATATTATGGGAATTATTTTCTTAAAATTTAATATTATCTTATTATTAGAATTTAATACCCAATTCTTAAAAATTTAATAACAACCATAACATTGAAGACAATTAATATTTCAACATTTTCAACATAAAATTATGACTCTATAAACTTTTATCTCTTAACATTTATTTATAATATCATATGGAAATATATGTGACGTGACGCAGAGAATCTAAGTCCGTCTCTAACATAGGTCGGTCTCTAATTAGAACATAATAGTATAATAAAAAGTACTCCTAGATGACAAGAATATCTTGATGCCAATAAATTATTTTTAAGTTTGCACTCAAACTTGTCTGCTATTATTTTCATTAGTAAA